CAATAAACAGAATGGTACCAAGAGCAATGCCTCTGATAAAGCAAAGACAGTACTTGGGCAGAAAATGACCAAATGGATATAGCACGACTAAGGTGTATTCAGCAATGATGGGCTGGGAGGGCTCTCCCAGGAGGTGAATTCTGAGCTCAAACTTGAATGATGAGCTTATGCAAAAAAAATGCGGGCGAAGTGTATTCTGGGAGCATTAGCAGGAACACAGTCCCTGCTGGGTGTGTTCAAGGGTAGTGAGGAGGGGCCAGGGCTGAGTGGGTAGTGCAGACCCATGATTCCGGCCACTCTAAATCCTGAGGAACTTACTCTAAGTATTTTGGGAAGCCGTGGGAGGGACATAATCCAATGACCAAAAATCATGCTACAACACGTTATTGTAGGTACAGTTTTCCCATGGAGGAATTTCGCACGAGAGCTATTGAATTCCAGAGTTTCAGGAAGAATTGCTGAGTGCCAGCTCCCGTACAGCCTCTTCCGGCAGGACTCAGGGCATCAGAGCAATTCTTTCGTGCAAATGTAAACACTGGAGGCTGGGCAGGCCAACTAGTAATGTATGACAGTCCTCAGAATGTGGATTTCAGCTCTTGTTGGCTAAAGGACATGACTTTAGGTGATCTACCCCCCTCTAGAACTACCCTTTCAAATTAGAAGACACCCAGAAGGGGAGACCTCAACTACTTGCAATAAGAGCCTTCCGGGAGCATTTAAATATGGTCTTGTACAGAGGACTACCTGCTGTTTGATTAAACTCACTGCATAATAGGGGGTCCCCTGGAAACTGGTTCTTTTGGTCGCTTCTGGGGAGGAGCTGGGAATTGAGGGTGGACTCTGCTGTATACCCTTTTACGCTTTTCAATTTTATAACAGGAGACTGTAGTACCCCGTTCAGGAAAAAAAACTGGAAGTAATAACTGAACTTACTACTCCTGTTGTGATTAGTGAAATAGGCTTAACTTTTCATTGGTAACTGTCTCAAATGTATCTAAAACTGGTTAAATGTTACTTTTTAGATTCTGTGCATGTTTTTCATGATTATGTTATTATTATAACACCATTAAGTGCCTACTAAGTACAGACCTTTGCTAAATTCTTTCATAAAGCATAAACTTAAACAATTCTTTATTTTTTTGGGGGGGGGGCGATGATCTGGGGAGAGGTGGAGAGAAAGAGAGAATCCCAAGCAGGCTCTGCATCGTCAGCATAGAGCCTGATGCGGGGCTTAATCTCATGAACCGTGAGATTAAGACCTGAGCCAAAATCAAGAGCTGGAGGCTTAAACTGAGCCATCCGGGTGGCCCTCATTTTTTATGTTTATGGATTTTTATTTTTAAGTAACCTCTACATCTACCATGGGGCTCGAACTCACAACCTCGAGGTCCGGGGTTGCCCGGTGCACTGACTAAGGTGCCCTGAAACTTTCTTAACCGTAAGTGGGACAAATGGCGATCACACACGAGTTAACCCTTTAGTTGATGAAATGCCATGTTTCATCTAAGAGGTCCCTTAACGGGTGTTTTTGTTATTGTTTAGTGAGATTGATATGAAATCGCCATGAGGTCTTATCGGCTTGGAGTGATTTATTTGAGGGAGCGGGTAGCCAGCCGTCCGGGGTGGCTGATAACGCATGAAAAGCTGCTTACTTTGCTGTCTGTTTTCTCAGGGTGGTGACGGTGACAAATATTAAGGTGCCGCATTCTCCCATTTTACTGACATTCCTGTGACGGATCTTTTTTTATCTGCTAGTCGAAAATATTCACAAAGAAAGAAAATTAAATAATAAGGTCTCAGTGTGTGCACAGTTCAAGGAGTGACTTTAAATTCAGATTGCTAACTTACCCCTCTGTGCCTTTAAAAAGATTTAATAAAAACCCCACACACCCATACTGTGCGTGCGTGCGCACACACTCACATCTCTAACGGAGTCCCACTGAGTCACGGAAAAAAACATGCTTTGGCTGTTTGGTTTGAATAAGTAACACAATTGCTATTTGTATATTTTAAAAATCCCCAATCTTATTGAATTAGGTAAGCGGGCTCTGATGAAGGCTCAGAAAACTATGGAGCCACTTGTGTGGCTAATTGCAGAAATCTAAAGAAAACACAAACTTGGGAATGTCACAGGACATGATTTTAAGGCAAAACGCAGAAAGGGGCTGGGTCTCGGCCACTTGCTTCATGTCTTTCCTGGTACCTACCTAGAGGATCTGTGCTGGACTGCATTTCACTGGGATGATTCCCCAGAAACTGAGCTAGAAGTACCCCCCGACTTCCAGCCCTGGAAGGCTTCTTAGTCAATGAATGAACCCTCCAGGCCACCTCCGTGCCCGGAGACCGGGCACCCCGGCGCCCGGGCACCCCAGTGCCCGGCTTGGCAATGATTCATTCGCCAACGTCGGGCTCATTTCTGCCTAGGGGACCACCTGCCCTCTGAGTTTTCAAGTTATTTGCCTCACACGTTTCTACCCAGAGCGCTGTATCAAGGCTGCACTTGGCCGTCAGGATAACGGTGTCTTGGGCGTAGCTTTCTCTCATCTTATAGCGAACTAAAAATGAGCCAGCCTTTCAGGATTCAGAGATAGAAGCCTCCAGGCCTTTCTGAGAGCCGAGCTTGAGTTCTGATTTCTAGCAGCAGAAATAGAAGACAGTCGTCGGAACATCTGACTTGACGAAAGGTCAGCCCTCTGGCCTGACGTCTTCAGACAGACGGATGTAATAAGAGAGAAAGTAGATATTTACAAGCATAATGTGGTGCCTCGGGTGGCATTATCTGGGAGAGGGCTGTATCTGGCAGAGCATATCATTTTTTTTTTAATAACGTGAGCCTCTGTGCACACTCAGAAACGTCCCTGTGGAGAGAAGATTTTCCTCTTTGCTGCTTTTAATGGGGACAGAGAATTTTGATGGCTCCAGCCACAGGGCTGCTGTGGGGTGAGGCCACACTGAGCTCAAATGCAGGCACCCAGGCTGTGTCAACACGACTAAAAATAGTTGAAAGTTGAGAGATCCAGTTAGTCAACACTTAGGGTTTATGCAGGGAGGGGAATGCAATCAGTGACTCAGCTTGAATCGGTTTCTCTGTCTAATTAATTTATTATCATTTTGAAATCCTGCCACGCCAGGCGGGCTTCTAAGTGTTTTACTTTTTTTTTTTTAATGTTTATTTATTTTTGAGACATAGAGAGACAGAGCATGAGCAGGGGAGGGTCAGAGAGAGAGGGAGACACAGAATCTGAAGCAGATTCCAGGCTCCAAGCTGTCAGCACAGGGCCCGACACGGGGCTCGAACCCACAAACCTCGAGATCATGACCTGAGCGGAGTTGGAAACTTAATCAACTGAGCCACGCAGGAGCCCCTCTAAGTGTTTTACATGTTGCCTTGCTTAGGTCCCCCTGGTAACTTTTTTTGTCCCCATTTGAATGAGGAGCTGAGGAGGGCATGGAGAGGACTACAAACCTCTGACCCACAGATGGGTTTTGTCTGACCTGCAAGGAATGTGAAAGATCACTGAAATTCACATAAAATGTGAGCTCCAGGCTTCTCTTGAAATATGGAAAGGCTGGTGACTTTGCGCCTGCGTTTCTGCATGGAGACCGCTGGCTGGAGCGCAGAGGAGAGTCACAGCCAGAGGACCGCCCAGCCCCGCCGGTGCGACACAGACACAGACCTGGGCCCTGGAGGTGGACGGGCTTGCCGGGCCCCTGGCGTTCCCACCTGGCCAGCTGCACGCGTTTCTGATCTGTGCCGGGGCCCTGAGGTCACCGGAATTGGCGACCCTCGTGTTTCAAGCTATTAGAGTTCACTGAAGGGGGCAGATCATTGATGGTGGTGGTGAGGAGGGGTGGGGACGTTGAGGACGAAACAGAACATTTGCTAAATGAACGAACGGGTCCCTGGACTCGAGGGCTTACGCTGAGCTTCCTGGGTCTGGCAAGGGCAGAGTGACCATGGGTTTCCTCAGGGGACGATCCTGGGCGGCTCTGGAGTCTGGGGCCACACCCTGTCTTACTAGCTGCTGCCCAGTGGGCTCGGGGCTAAGCAAAGCAGCTGCCCCACTAGGTAGTCCACAAAATGTGCTATAAAGTATCCGGCACGATGCCCGGCATGTAATGTATTCAACAAATGTGAGTTATAAAAATTCCTTTAAAAATGCTCCTTTTCGCGCGCCTGGGGGGCTCAGTCGGTTGAGTGTCCGACTGTTGATTTCAGCTCAGGTCATGATCTCACAGTGCATGGGTTCAAGCCCCACATCGGGCTCTGCGCTGGCTGACAGCTCATGGAGACCGCTTGGGATTCTCTCTCTTCCTCTTTCTGCCCCTCCTCCACTCACGTGCGCGCGTGTGTGCGTGTGTGCATGCACACGCTCGCATGCTTTCTCTCTCTCTCTCTCCATCTCTGTCTCTTGAAATAAACAACAACAAAAAAATCCGGTTTGTGAGATGGAGCCCTGCATCAGGCTCATTGCTGTCAGCACAGAGCCCAATTTGGAGCCTCTGTTCCTCTCTTTCTGCCCCTCCCCCACGCAGTCTCTCTCTCAAAAAAAAACAAAAACAAAAACAAAAAACCTAGCTCTTCTTTCTCTGCACCAGGATTCAACGGCACCCAGTACCGCCAGGTCAAATGAGGGACCACTGGATTTGGGACTCAACCATCTGGCTTCCCTCACTTCCCTGAGCTGTATCTCTTCATCCTTAACACGGGAATGAGTCAAGATAATTTAAAACCCACCGTGGGAGACCGTCCATGCACTTTTGTTTAATTTTTAATTACCAAGTCACAAATGGCCTTTGTCACAATGGGACTCCACACATAGACTATAAACAGGGCATAAGTCTCATTTCTTCTGACTTCTTGTGGTTAATCACGGGCTGAGATACCCATCAGGCCATACCTCCAAGCCTGATTACCTTCCGATTCCAAAGGACAATGGCCTCTTCTGACAATAGCTGCTATCTCTGAAGGGGAGGGTAAGACAAGAACACCTAATCCCGGAGGGCAGGGGCCCCGGCGAGGTGCTCGGTGAGTGTCCAAGGGACTGTGACAGAACGTGAGTCAAACTGGAGACCACAAAGATCCTGCTCTTTTTGTCCCTTCGACCCAGAGTCCGTGGCTGAGCGGCCGTGGGACGCAGAGACAATGGGTGTGAGTTACAGGGTTTATAGAGGAGGCTTGTTCAAATCCCAGCTCTGCCTCTTGCCAGCTGCGTGCCTCTGGGAAGCTGCTTAACATCTCTGAGCCTTCATGTCCTTATCTGCGAACGGAGGACAGCAACACCTATCTTGTTTGACCTGATACACAGAGAGCTTTTAGCGCGGTGTTTGGTACACAGTAAGTGCTCAATACATGTTAGCTATTAGTATCAGGCAGCAGTCAACAGTCTCCATTTTCCTGTTTCTTGATGTTTGGTATGAACACCTGTGAACCTGCCGATGCCAGGTGTGTGTGTGTGTGTGTGTGTGTGTCCACATGTGTGTCCATGTGTCCGTGCGTGTCCATGTGTCCGTGTGTGCAGGCAGATTAGCTACTGATTCAGTCTCTGCACCAGCATTGGGTCTATTTAGGTCTCTGGATCTTGGCTCAGCTTTGGTAAATGATATTCCCCTAAGAAGCTGCTAATTTTACTGAGTGTTCATGTTTTTCTAAATCATAAAACCTTTCATGGTATTAAACGTCATTATTCTCTTCTCTAACTGTGGTTATGCTCTCTTTCTACCCCTAATATTTTTATTTATACTTTTTCATTTGCTTTCATCATGCCAGTTAGATATTTTTCTTAGGTTCTGAGTCTTTTTTTTTTTTTTAATGTTTTTAATGTTTTATTTATTTCTAGGAGAGAGAGAGCGTGAGCAGGGGAGGGTCAGAGAGAGAGGGAGTCACAGACTGAAACAGGCTCCAGGCTCCGAGCTGGCAGTCAGCACAGAGCCCGACGCGGGGCTCGAACCCACGAACCGTGAGATCATGACCTAAGCGAAAGTCGGACGCTTAACCGACTAAGCCACCCAGGCACCCCAGGTTCTGAGTCTTCTTAAAGGACCAGCTTTCGGCCTGGCTAATTCTTTCTCTCAAAATCTTTTGTTTTGGGGGCGCCTGGGTGGCTCAGTCAGTTGAGCGTGTGACTTCAGCTCGGGTCTGGATCTCGCAGTTCGTGGGTTCAAGCCCCGCGCTGGGCTCTATGCTGACAGCTCAGAGCCTGAAGCCTGCTTGGGATTCTGTGTCTCCCTCTCTCTGCCTCTCTCCTGTTTGCATTCTGTCTCTCTCTCTCTCAAAAATAAGCAAACATTAAAAAAATAACTCTTTTGTTTTCTATTTTGTTACTTTTAGACTTACCTTTATTACCACCTGCCTTCTGCTTACGGATTATTCTCCCTTTATTACTATGTTCATAGTTCACCTACTTGTAAGAAGTAAGACGTGGTGGAGCCAGCAGTTCTTACCTCACAGGATTGTGTGAAAAGTGAAGGAGATCTTGAGTGCTCCCTAATGTCAACTACGAGTATTCTCTGTAAGCCTCAGTTTTATTATCTCTAAAACGGGTCCCTTGGAGGATTAAATGAAATTGTGTGTGTGGAGTTCTTGGTTCATGCATGTCCCTTGTGATCAGTAGTATTCCCTGGGGTGTACAACATGCTTGTCACCAATTGTAACACTCACAGTTGTGCCTGGCTTCCTCTCCCAGGACTAGCTACAGACTTGGCAGGGCCTAGCACAAAACCAAAGTGTAAGGCATCTTGGTACAATCTTAAGGATTTCAAGATGGCAGGGTGCCTGGGTGGCTCAGTCCATTAGGCATCGGACTTTGGCTCAGGTCATGATCTCACAGTTTATGAGTTCGAGCCCCGCGTCAGGCTCTGCGTTGATGGCTCAGAGCCTGGAGCCTGCTTTGGATTCTGTGTCTCCCTCTCTCTCTGCCCCTCACCTACTCATGCTTTCTTTCTCTCCTTCAAAATTAAATAAACATTAAGAAAAAAAAAAAGAACTACAAGACAGCAATAGCAGAGCACTAAACCAAGAGTGGTGCCCTTACGGGGACAGGCTGCACCTCCCTGAAGTTGATCCTGTCCTCTCCCAAGGTCACCCGGTCAGCTGGTGTTTGAGTCTTCGAGGGTATTTTTTTACAAAGGCTTCTTCCCCTGCCCCTTCACATGTGTGCATTCTCCAGTCTCCTAACTGATTCCAGGACCTTGGAACTGTGTTTGACCCCTGGGCTGCCCCTAATGCAATCAGAGGGACATTAGTCCAGGGTCCGCTCCAAATCAGAGGCCAGGACAAAACGTTGGATAAATTATAGCTGGTTATGAAGAAGCCGCCTTCCACCATGTTCTCATATTCCTTATGTTTAGAGTCATAACTCAGCGAAGCCAGAAACATTTGCCACTGATAAACGTGCTTGGATAAGCACGGCTGATGGGTTAACAATAATAACTAGAGCTGCTTAAAAAAGCAACAGGCTTGGGGGCGCCTGGGTGGCTCTGTCGGTTGAGCGTCTTGACTCTTGGTTTTGGCTCAGGTCATGATCTCACTGTTCATGGGTTCGAGCCCCACGCAGAGCTCTGTGGTGACAGTGCAGAGCCTGCTTGCGGTCTCCCTCACAAAATAAATAAATAAATCTTTTTTTTTTTTTTTTTAAAGAAAGCAACAGGCTTGAATTTGGAGGCCAAAATGTCCTCCTAAATATGCAAAGATGTTTTAAAAAAAGAATGTGTGGTTTATATTTGTGCGGCTCAGAATGACATTTTTTTGAGAGCAAATTTTTTGAAAGTTTATTCATTTTGAGAGAGTGAGAGAGCACAAGCAGGGAAGGAGCAGAGAGGAAGGGGGGAGGGAGAGGGAGAGGGAGAGGGAGAGGGAGAGGGAGAGGGAGAGAGAGAGAGAGAATCCCGAGTAGGCGTGGAGCTCAATCCCAAGAACAGTGAGATTGTGACCTGAGCCAAAATCCAGACCCTCAACCAACGGAGCCCCCCAGGCGCCCCCCCCCACAAATTATTTTAATGACTTTGCAAGACTAAGTCAGCTTGTGAGCGGAGCCGAGCCTATGTACAAGCAGACACGCAGCACTGAAATGCTAGCGTATTCTCTGCTGCCCACAGTGCCTGGGGCCATAGCCCCCCATCGGAGGGCTCTCCAGCGGGCGACCCTGAGCACTCACCTGGCCCGGTACCCCCCTGCGGTCCCCTCTGCCGGGGCTTCACAAGGACAGGGCGATCTCATCTAGTTCCCTGAACTACCCTGCGGCTAGTCAGCTGCCCAAGTTCACTCAGGCAGTGGGAGGCCGGGTTTCCAACCCACTTTCTGACCACAAAACCCGTGTTCCCAGCTCCTATCTCACGCTGCTTACATGTGACTGCAAAAAGAGATAAAGAACCGGGAATGATCCCTGAGTGTGCCTGTGTTTAGTGTACAAACTGTACTAAGGCCTTTACACGGATCATTGCATCGACACCTCGTATTGGTTCTGTGAGGAAGCCAGGACCGTCATCATGTCCCTTAAGGAGACAGGGATCTAAGGCCTGGGGAGTTCAGGGCTCAGGCCCCACAGCGAGGGACCGATTTACAGAAAGGCCAGATACGCAGCTGCCATGGTCAGCTCGAGCGGCCATAACAAGGGACCGCAGGCTGGGTGGCTTAACGACACGCATCGATTTCTCCCATTTATGAATGAATAATTTATTTATTATGATCTTGGCTGGGAATGCCAAGATCAAGGCCACAGACCTGGAGTCTGGTGAGAGCCCTTGTCTGAGCCACCCAGGCGCCCCTCTTAGATACTTTTTGAATAAACAATAAAACACACCAAGTTCAGCCCACTCTACCCTTCCTCAAGGCCCCCCTCCGCCCAAAAAGTTACCGCTAGCATGAAATTTATGTTTCCTCCTGGTCCCGTGTTACAATAATTTTAATATTCTTTATGTGTCTACGTACATCTATTGCTAAATGTTATGTTACTTTAATTTATATAAATAGTTTCTTGTTCGACTTCTTTTGTTTTCAGGTATAACGCGCTGATACGAATGATTCTTTTTGTCTGCAGGGTCATATTCTCTTTCAGGAACAGATCACATTCTATGTATCTTTTCATTGACTGGTGGATATTGAGGCTGTTTGCAGTATGATGCGAATCCAGCAGGGCCCTGAGCCTCCTTTTTGACCTTGTGACATTGTTAGCTTGTGTTCCCGGCCGTGTGTGTGGCTGTGGACAGTGTTGCCAGATGTTGATACGTGATTCTCCAAAGCATCACAGAGAAACTTATTCTTACTCTCCACCCCTCCCTTCCGTTTCAGAAGTAACATCTGTAATACATCCCAGCTCTTCACCCAGCCTGGGAGACCCGGGGCGAGCTGGCCGTCACCCGCCCCTGCCTCTGCTCTCTGCCTTGGCCACTCTGCTCTTGGAACAGCCAACCCCTCTCCAGCCCCTAGACCTTGTGCTGACTGGTCCTCACCCGCGCCGCCCTTCTGGGGCTATTCTTCCCCGCCCCTGGGCTGGCCGGGACTACTGCCCTGTGCCGCGGCGGCCACCCGATTTCTAACTTTATTTTATTTAATTAATTTATTTAGTTTATTTTGAGAGAGAGAGCTCGAGCTCAAGTGCAAGTTGGGGAGGTGCAGAGTGAGAGGGAGAGAGAAAGAATCCCAGGCAAGGAGCCTGACATGGGGCTCGAACTCATGAACTGTGAGACCATGACCTGGGCTGAACTTGAGAGTTGGACACTTAACTGGCTGAGCCCCCCAAGGCTCCCCTAACTTTAATTTAATTTAGATTAAAACCTCAAAACTCATACTTCACTCCATTATTAGAACACTTTTAAGGCTATCCGGTACAATTTAGTAACTTTTCAGCTAACTTTATGAAGCATAAGTTCAGATCAAACCTTTTTCATGAACATTTTGTGCCCAAATTGAGACGTGCGGTGGGTATAAGATACATGCCAGACTGAAAGTACGAGAAAAAAGATTATAAATCTCATTTGTTATTTTTTGAAAATCCTTTGTGACTACTGGAAAATTTAACATGACATGAAATTAACTATAATCACATATTATTAAATAAGTATAACCATAAATAAAGGGAAATAAAAAGTTTTAAAAACTAAAGCTAAAGACGAAATAAAGATTATAATAATACAAATAAAGTAGGGGCGCCTGGCCGGCTCTGTCGTAGGAGCGTGCCACGCTTGATCGTGGGGTCCGGAGTTCGAGCCCCACATTGGGTGTAGAGGTTACTTAACTAAACTTAAGATACAAATAAAACAAAACACATCCTTACAATAAAATATAAAATAGCTTTAAATGGTTTCCACCCATTTCTTTTTGCCTTTTGAAATCTGGCTACTAGAACACCTAACACTATGTGTGTGGCTTGCGTTTTACTTCGAAATGATGGCAACTGCCTGCATCTTCCTGAACCTGGCTCCTTCTTCTCCTTCTGGACTTCGCTATAGCCTCACCTTCTCAGTGGGGCGTCTCCTAAGCATGTGTCCTCGAGTATCACCCCGTCCCCCTTATGCTGTCCTGTCTTGTCTTCATCGCCTGACTTTGGGGGTGTTTATTTCTGTGTTGTTTCCCCTGCACTGGGCTATAAACACGCACCTTCTCAACAGACTGTGCTGCTCCGGGCTGCGCTGGCGTCTGCCTCAGGGTCTACACCCATGAGTACTTGTTAAGCCAACTCATCCTGCTTGTTTGAACACTCCCAAGGACTGACAACACACACTCCGGATTTGCACACACGCCAACCCACGGTTTGGCGGCGGTGTGGCTGAGATCGAACACCGCGTGCCTCGCATTTTCTACTTCACGCTCCAGGCACGGTCGGATCTAATGATTTTTCATCCGTCACCCGGCCTTCCGGGAAGGCGGAAACTTGGGATGGGAGGCAGGGAAAGAAAGATCTAGGTTGGATTTACGCAGGAAGCACGTGCACCAGTAGCTTGATCAACGATCACGGCCGGAACCAAAAAAAAAAAAAAAAAAAAACCCAAAAAACCAAAACCACCCCCCCCCCCATCAATCATTCCTTTCTTGATGGCTATTTTAAATATTTAGCTGACATTGTCCTCATGTGGGGGTCAGCTGTTTTCTCTGCAAACACCCGTGGGCCCCGCGCTCACACACAACGCCGGGGTCCGTGGGGGCCCAGCTCAAGGCCTCCTTTTGTGTTGACCGTGTAAAGCCCCTGGGTTGATAGTTCACATTAACGGGGACGGAAATATACAACTTGCAAGTCGAGAAAGCAGTTTTTACTCATAAAATCCTTTGATAGTTTAGCCATCTGGTCAGAGCGAAGCGTCGCATAAAAGAGGCCCAAGCAGGGTGAAAGGGCACCGTCTCTCGGGGTCAAGGGGGGCCTGGCGGGGTTTGCTCCGGTGGACGCGGCTAAAAGGACGCCTGACAAATTATTGCGCATTCCACAGCCTTTTGCGTCAGTATTTGATTACAGTGGGCAGGAATGTTGTTGATATTTTCAAACCCGAGTCAGGGAGGCGGGGAGGCCGGCCGGCTCCCGATCGCTCCTCGGCCGGGGGTGCTCCCTGCCCGCGGGGGCCCCCTCACCCGCCTTCGCCGGGCCCTGCTCATCCCGAAGCCTTGTGGCTTTGGCACTGGGGTGAAGGGGGATTTTCGTCCCCCTTGGGGAGAACAAAGGACCCCCCCGCGTTACCCTGAATGGCCAGGAAAGCCCCACTACGATGTTTCTCGCCGTTCGCTGCTCAGTAATAAAGCAGGAAGGGAAAGAGCAGTACTTGGAACTCTGTGCTCTTTCCAGCGTGAATGTCCACAGAACCAAACATATTTATGGCTTTATTTCTCAGGCGGGGGCGGGGGGTGTCAGAGACAGAAAGGAATTCGAGGTGATTAAGTGTCATCTTCTCCAGAGGCCCGGACAAAAGCAGAGGAAATCGCTGGATTTTACGGGGTCGTGGGCTGCCCGGCTACAGTGAATGAAGTGAATGAAGAGCAGGTCTCTGCACGGCCCTAGGATTTCCAGAAAGTGCCAGCAAGGCCTCCGCTTCCCTGGAGATTAGGAAGAATGAAGACATTATCTGCGAGCACGTTTCTTGGGGAGGCGCCGAGGGCGATGGCCACTGTGTGCGATAAGGGTGGCTTCGTTCTGGTGAAAGACACGGGCACCCGGGACAGCCTGGCAGAGCTTTTTGCTGAAGACATTTTTGTTTTCCAGCTTTATTTGTAGTTTTTCCAGCATCCGGGCCAGGGGGAGCGGAACAGGTGCAGGCAGATGCAGAGTCAGCCCCGGACGAGGCAAGTCCGTGAGGAGCGCCCCGAGTTCCTACAGACGGAGGATCGGCCATGGGATCCGAGTGGTGGGAACCCCCCTCCCCAAGTGTCCCCCAGAGGGACCAGAAAGTCCCTTGGGCCTTATAATATCTTTCATTGCGTTATAATACACATAATGTAAAGTTTACCGTTTTAACTATTAAAAATTGTTTTTTAATATTTTACTTTTGAAAGACAGAGAGACCGAGCACGAGCAGGGGAGGGGCAGAGAGAGAGGGAGACACAGAATCCGAAGCAGGCTCCAGGCTCTGAGCTGTCAGCACAGAGCCTGACATGGGGCTCGAACTCACCAACTGTAAGATCGTGATCTGAGCCAAAGTTGGACACTTAACCAACCAAGCCAGCCAGGCACCCCTGGTCATGTGCAATTTTAAGTTCTGCTGATAGTGAGAACCTCACATGTCACCCAGGCCTGGCCAGTTCACCACATGTCATATTAAAACATCAGGTGGAAAAAATTAAACAAATAAAATAAAACATCAGGTTGGGAGGCTTCAGATTTTTAAGGTACCGAAAGTTTATGAGGATGATTGTGACTTAGAACATTAATAAAAGTAAGAAAGAGAGAGAAAGTTAATAGCAGTGCATGCTAACTGTGGGTCAGGTATGGTACTCAATGCTCACAGGCTCCATCTCTTTAACTCACCAGAAGACTGAATCTGCAGAGTGGGAAGAGTGGTCCATTATCCCATTTTACAGATTAGGGTGTTAAGGTGCCTATAGAGGTAAAGGAACCGTTGAAGGTTATACAGTTAATTAGTGCCAGAACTGTTGGGTCTAAACTCTTACACACGAAGCTCGGTGCTGTGAAGAAAGTACAAGTTTAACACAAATCATATGATGATAAAGAAAATGACAAAAAAGAAAAAATAGGTACAGGTACTTAACTACACCCACAGGCTGTGTACACACTGTGAGTTCTTGGAAAGAAGGATGTGGCAGACATCCTTGCCTCCTACTGGACGGCCATTTCCTCTTAATCCTTGAAACAAGACCTTGGTTTTGTGCAGACAAAATGGCGCCTACCTCCTGGATTCATCTAAATGAGAAGTTTTCTTCTTTTTTTTTAATGTTTTATTTATTTCTGAGAGAGAGAGAGAGACAGCAGGAGTGGGGGAGGGTCAGAGAGAGAGACACACACAGAATCCGAAACAGGCTCCAGGCTCTGAGCTGGCTGTCAGCACAGAGCCTGACGCGGGTCTCGAACCCACGAATTGCGACCTGAGCCAAAGTCAGATGCTTGACCGACTGAGCCCCCCCTGGCACCCCGAATCTAGAAGTTTTCAGACTTGTTGATCTCAAGACACAAACTTAGAAGTGAAAACTGAGGAAAACGTAGGCAGTAATTTCTTTGGTGTTAGCTATAGAAACATTCTTCTAGATAGGTCTCGTTAGGCAAGGGAAGCAAAGGCTAATTAAACTATTGGGATGACACCAAAATAAAAAGCTTTTGCACAAGGAATAAACCCATCAACAAAATGAGAAGGCAGCCTACAGAATGGGAGAAGATATTTGCAAATGATGTATTTGACAAGGGGTTAATATCCAAGACATTTAAAGAGCTTATGCAAGTGAACACCAAAAAAACAAATAATCTGATTAAAAATGGGCAGAGGGCCTAAATAGACATTTTTTCCAAGAAGACCTACACATGGTTAACAGACACATGAAACGATGCTCAACATCACTCATCAAAGGGAAATGCTAATCAAAATGGCACACTACCATGAGATACCACTTCACACCTATCAGAACGGCACAAATCAAAAAACCAAGAAACAAGCATGGGTGAGGATGTGGAGAAAAATGAGGCCTTGTGCACTGTTGGTGAAGTCATCACGAAGGTTCCACAAAAAATTTAAAATAGAAATACCACACGATCCAGTAATCTCACTACTGGGCATTTACCCAAAGAAAACGCAATCACTAGTTCAAAAAGGTCTATTCACCCCTATATTTACTGCAGCATTATTTACAACAGCAAAGATATGAAAGCAACCAAAGTGTTCATCTGTAGAAGAAGTGCTACACACACAGACACATACACACACATTACATATACACAATACACACATATGCATACATATACACACACCCATATGCATACATATACACACATACATATGCAAACATATACACATATGCATACATATATACACATACATATGCATACATATACACACACCTATGCATACATATACATATATAAATACATACACACAATGGAATATTACTTGACCATAAAAGAATGAAATCTTGCCACTTGGAGCAACA